TGGGAAAAAAAGTCACTTGTTATGCAGATGACAGTATTAAATGTATTTGTTCTGCGCATCATAGCAGGGAAATTCTCCTTAGCTGATGTGATTGTTTTTCCCAACATCGCTTATGCCTTCCATTACGGGTATGTAATTGAGTACAGAGTTTGCTGGAACCCAGATGTTTGTTCTCAACATCATGACTGTGTGTTCTGTTTTTTTTTTTTTTTTTTTTTTTTTTGGTTTCCTTTTCTAGGCTGTCTGTAGAACGTTACCCTAAAATGGCCAAATACTACAGCCTCCAAAGTGGTTTCAAGTTGAACAACGATCTGAAACCCATAAAGATGTCTGAACACTTAAACACCATCTCTAGCTTTTCTAAGCTTGCTGCTTTCTTTATAATTGCAAACTTATCTAAGTATTACTATCATTGAAATTTCCTTTTACCAAATATCTTAGAATGTTAAATCATCCACTCATAACAAAAATAACTTATTTTACTCTAAAAACCTGTAGATAGATAGACCAAAGTAGGTAGATCACCATCATTGTATTCTTTATCAATTTTATAATATTAATTCTATTGAATAGTAAAGCACTTTATAAATCATATTATGATGACAATCTTTCTGACCCTTCCTTAACTGATTCAGTGACTTATTTTTTATTATCGCTTCTTAATTTCCTTTCAATAGGGACATAATGTGTTTTTGATTTTTTTTAAGCCTATAGCCTGTATCATGGTGTTAACTATCTTATGACTGATATCTTAATTCTAGATATCAGATAATAATCAGGTTAACAGTACATTCTGGTAATCATTAGCATATACTATTACCAGTATTAACTTTCAAAGGTTTACATTGTTTGAGTTGCTTTGCAAAGTTACATTGCCAATGATTCAATGCAATTAACTGGTTTTCCATAGATATAAATCTTTGAATCAGTTTTACTGTATGATCTGGTTGAATTGTCTTTGTAAAGTGCCTCTAGATGACATGTATTGTAAATTGATGCTATATAAATAAACGGAATTGAATTGAGCCTAACCAGCCCAACCAGTCTCCAAATCCAGCAAAAGTGAAGAAAACCTTTGGAGTTTAAAGCATGGTTTTACGTTGCTTTGAACACATCTGGTCTCTGTTCTATTTTCAAGCATCTATAATCAGAAATGTATTAAGTTTAAAGTTAATGAAATTCAAACATTGACAGTTATATCTATTTTTTCTTCTTGAGAAATTGATTTTATTTGGGTGTAGCAACAAGAAGTTAGTTATTTAATACTCTTGACATTTGCTGACTTAATTAAAAAAAATCGCTGACAGATGACAAATACTTCAACCTACATTTTTAGGTTTAAATTTAACTTTGAAATCTTAAATTTGGTGCACAATTATTCAATACATATCCCTACATTTTGAGTTGAATCTCACCTTTGTATTTTTTTTTCAGTTTTCTTTTTCAAGAATAAGTCTCCTTTAATGTACCCCTGAGATGTAGTATATCTCTTGAAACTTCCCTTCAAGAAGTTTGTGCATATGCTGTCACACAAAGGATTGTGGAGTATCCTGGATCTTAGGGATTGTCTGAGTTAGTCAATCCCTAAGATAACTGCATTGGCTGTAGGAAGCATACTTCTTCCTCTTCTTGATTCCTTCATCACTGCCAGCACTACTGAGATTTAGCACTTATTATCTTGACCCGGATACATTTCTGCCATAGTTTAGTGTCCTAAACGATTTGAGGTGTTTAGATCGAGACTATGGGAGCCGGATCTTAAGGAGCTGCTCCTCTAAAAGTGTCGCTTTTTATTAAGTGAGAATACAACACAAAATATGGTTCAGAATAATTAAAATATTAACAGTTAAATATTTTTTTAAAGCCAATTTGCAAGTCATTAAAAGAAACAAAAAAAAAAAAATCTTGAAATTTTTCCCTACAAGAGAATCTACTTGTGTGTTATAAAATGCAAGTCAAATTAAAGCCCCAGCTCAGTGCCACTCGGCCTACGGCGGCCGTG